TTAATCTCCTCTAAGAAGTTAAGTTAAATTTACCTTAATGAGCCAATTAACTGCTTTAAACCGAGCATTTCGAATCAAATCATCGTTCACGACAAGCTCCGAGTAGCCTCGTTCGGGTGAGTAATCATCTTCCTTGCCTATAAACACACTCAAAGCCTCTTCACAATCTTCTTCAGTCCAAAAATCGACTTTATGAGGTTCGTCTTTTTCTTGTACATTCGTATTATCGAGGAGAATGTTGGGGCTCATTAGCCAAACTTCATTACACAAGAGATTTTCCATTCTCTACATAGGTAGAATAATTTAGAAAGAAAGATTAAGAATTTGAAAGAAAATGTTTCACATTATGATTGATTTTATGTACCATGTTTGGAGTAAAGAAAGTAAATATGTAGATGTGGATATATATGTGGTTACTATACATACAATGTTTGTGTATATATAATTTGGTGGTTGTGGTGGTGGAGGACGGCGGTTGAGGGATGGGTTGTGGTGGTGAAGTTGAGATCAATATGAGATATGAAAATGGGGACACGTTTCTCATGACAAGTTGGTTAATGCTAGGAAAATTTTAATAAGTTATATTTATTTTTTATATTGAGAAAAAACAAGTTAGGTCAATGCTATGAGAATTAGTGAATTACATGTAATAAGATATGTTTATTGATCATATATTTCATTCACGTATTTTTGTGTTGGACAGTTTAATAGGTCGACCAGTTATATTTTCTGAACAATATGCATACTTATAATTATTATATTATCAAATACTGTACTTTTATTTATACTAATTTTCTTAAAGTGGTATATTTTATAATGAAAATATGAATATTTTTAATGAGTAATTGCAAATATCGTACTTGATTTCAAATATCAAATAATTATTGGTGATGAGTAAGAATTGATTTTCTTAAAGTGCGACATTTTCCATTTCTATCAAATGTCAGTATTTGATTTCAGTAATAGTTATTGCTAGTGAATATTGGTGATGAGTAAGAATTGGTTAATTTTTAGTTAATTTTGCATGGATAATTAAAATTATCCTACACATTTCATATTTCTACGTAAAATTATCAAAATTATTCAAATAATTATTCACAAGAAAAAAAAAATTGATGTTTTCATAATTTCATAAGATTGTAAAATATAACATTCTTTATTATAAAGTTATAGATAAACCTATCCTATATGCAACTACAGGTGCAATAACGAGCAGATCCAAGTTCAAGCTTATGATTCTTTAATTCGGATTCGAGCATTTATTGAGTCTCGCTGTATTCACGACCTCATCTCACTTATCGATAATAACGAACCGACTTGAGTTTTAACAGTCGAGTTATAAAAAAAATACATAAAAAACTCTACTTGAGCCTTAGTAAAATCTAACTCGTCCTAAGTCGTTTATCAATGAACGACTTTTAACAATTATATAATGCAACCTGTGACAACCAACATTTGTGGATTTATTTTTATTTATTTTTGCCAGCGAATGGTGGATTTTAACTGCAGTAATCTAACGCGTGATGGCACGAGGAAAGGCCCCCCATACTATTCATGGTTGTGAGTTGGGCAAACATAATATTATATTGAGTTTGGGCCTTTCATTCGAATAGACCAATTGAGGGATATTGTTTTAGAATTAATTTTACACGTGAGGGCCCACGATAAGACTGTTTACAACTCACAAACAAAGCCATGTACTTTTTCAGTGGGGACCTACCTATTGCTGAAATTAAAGTTGGCATGCAAAATAATCAAATTGAAAGCTACTAACATCACTGGCTAACAATCAAACGAGGTAAATATAGGTCGACTCACCTAATCAACCTATTTATGCAGACAATTTTGAAAAAAAAAAAATAACATTAACTATTTAACTGATTTTGAAAGCAACATATCATTACAAAAAACTATAAATACACACACACATACATATATATATAAATATATTTTTTTTCCCCTAAAATATACGATAGATCGGCAATCGATTCGTAGCCCATTAGACCATCAATGCATCCATATATGGTTTTGTGAAAGTAAAATACTATAGGGTATATGAAGCTTGGAATATTGAGGAAAGTGTTTAAAAACAAAGGCTAATAAATACTCCATACTCCAATATCCCACAAGTTTGCCCACAGCTCGATCCCTAGCCTGCCTAGGCTTAGCAAAAAGCCTTCATAAACTGCACGCTTACCAAAAGGCCCACAATCAATTATGCAATTTTTGTCACAACACAAATGAAACTTTCTGAACCTTATATGGATTCTTCAACAAAATCTTCCCCCACATTCTGTGCCCCAAAAAAAAGGGCAAACGAAAAAAACTATCGCAAATACCCGTCAAATTCGATTTTTTCCTTAGAGATCCTTAAACACAGGTTCGGTTACAGAAAGCTAAAGCGTTCAAGCTCGAGCTCAACCAATATAAGTACACTCTTAAATCCACCAGTTTATCAGAGACAAATAGCAATCCCCCAATTTCCTCGTATATTTTGCTAATGAGGGCGATTAAAAGAACTTTAGCAGGTTCAAAATTTGTAAAAAAAAAAAAAGCAACTTCTGCAATTACCGGCATCAAATTTTACTGCAGCTCGTAAGTTGAGAAGCTGAATCCCGACCGTCCATCGTTAGTCGATTTTAGTTCCAGCTTTTGAAAGGGGCTGTGAAATAATTAGATTGATCAGATTTGGCCTATTATCAGGCCATCATGATAAATCGCAATAAGAAACGGGCTAAGCCCAATAAAGCAAGATCATTTTTTGACATTTTTTAGCCATTTTAAGATATGTGTCCTCGATTTATATTAATGGGCCCAACAAGTTTGATGAAATGAACTCGACGGTTTATCTTATAGAGCCTATCATATTATTGTGCAGTGCTTTTACAATGGCCAGACACGAACAATTTGCCACCACTAATTGCAAAAATTTAAAGCAAAAATGGATAATCAAAATGGCTTACCTGCTATTAGGATCATAATAGAAGCCATTAATGGATCCATCACTACACGAGAAGCAAACGTAGTAAAAGCCCGCAATTGTCAGCCCACAGTCTGTCCCGACGTTCACAAAGTACTGCTCTTTCCACCTCTGCACAAAATTAAATCAGAAAAAAATGATTATATTTAAATATAAGAGCATGATTTCAAATTATGAGGGGAATAAGGATCCATATATTATTCTCACCATAAATATATAAGGATAGTTACTTAAGTCCAGGGATTTTCCTCCATCAGCTTCCACTTGGCTCTGGAAAACGATGATAGACTAGTTAAGGTTTTAAATTGTAGTAAAGCACTTAACAGTCTTAAACTAAGAGGAGTGTTGCTTAGGGTTGTAAACAAATAAACATTTTCGATTCGATTCGATACGTGATTCATATTCGTGAAAATTCGAAGTTGAGTTCGAATAAGAACAGTGTTTAGCATTCGAAATTTATTCGACTCTGAATCCGAATACGCACGTCTTCGATTTAAAATTATTGAATATTCGATTCGTTACTAGTAATTATATATAATAGAATATTTTATTCATATAATAAATCTAAATATATTAAATATAAACATAAAACACAAAATATATATATTATATTTAAAAAATATACAAACACAAATAATTTCTGAAAACGAATTTCGAATCAAATCGAATATATTCGATTATCTTAATCGAATCGAATACGTATCACAAATTAAATTCGACAACGAATCGACTACGAGTATGGAATCTTTTGACGAATTTGAATCAAATAGTTAAGTATTCGATTCGATTTGTTTACAACCCTAGTGTTGCTAATGTTCACCAATAGAGGAGGGAATGAGGGGAACTGTGTCCAGTGCTTCACGTCATCATCTACCCTGCACATTAATTTGAAAAACCAATTACAAATGTTTGGACATCCGAATAAATATATGCATACTTCTTTTCGTATCGTGCACACATTTTTTTTCTCCCCTCTGCAAATGAGAAGGATTTGNAAAAAAAAAAAAAAAAAAAAAAACAACAAAACAAGGAACTTACGTTGCTCCCCACTTCCCAGTGAAGAAAGTATAATTCTTAGTATCCACAATTTCCCCTTCCCAGAAAGTAACAACCTGAAATATACGTGTAAAAAAGAAAAGGAAAGAACGAAAGAATTTAGTAGATAATAAAATAAAACAAATGATTGAAAAAAGTCAAAAACAATGTGAGACTACAGAGTTCTTACAGGTGTATCCGCCATGGGAACATTAAGAGCTTCCATTGTGCCACAAAGGTAGCCATGATCAAGATCACATCCTTGAATTCGTACGTTCACTCTCCATGCTTCATCTTTCTGTAAACTCGAAACGTTTTGAGTCCCCGAAAAAGACTGTAATATCAAACATTTGGTGTAAGCACAAGTCAACAAATTGGCATATCGCAAATCGGGACACTGTCAGGCACTTAATAGAGCAGGGTTGCATTCAATTACGAATTCAAGAAAATTAATGGTATTACCCTACAAAAGTATCAAGATTCAACTACATCTCAAGTCAAAGATGCAGTAATCGGAGTACAATTTTATAAAATGAGTTAACTATAATATCCAATTAGAACATGAAAGAGAGCCCATACTTATTCCTAAAACACTTAATCAATCTGTTTACAGAATCATACCAACAAGTTGATTGGATTCTTAGAAATACGATAACCGAGTAGCTAGCTTCAGAGAAGCCAAAATCATAAAATAAATAAATAGATAAAAGAAGTTCATGCATTGAATGGTAACTAATCAGGAGAAAAATGGTAGAATTACCTGCCCAACACTTAAAAGAGTACAAGGCTGCAGCAAAGTGTTCCCCGACGAAGTCCCTTCAAAATGGTAGTAAACCGTAAGCCTTAATGCCGATCGTGAATGAAATAAAAACCCAAATATGATCAATATTCCAGTATTCCATATCAAGACTAAAAGGAGAAATAAACAAATAAAGCCAAGCCAAACAAAAAAAATCCAAAACAGAACTTAAGGATTGGGAAAAATGCAAGCTTGGTTTCGATAACCTAAGCTTAGTGGCTTCAACGACTCAAAAATTCCCTAGCAAAATAACTTCGATCCCCATAATCTCAGGTCAGACAAAACATTAAGAAACACAAAAACATGAAACCCAGATCGTTTTATGCATGTGACAGACAATCCCAAGCCTCCGCAAGCAGGGAGCAAGATGAAAATCAATTTTCAATCACCATTTCAAAAAGAGAAATGCTATAGGTACATAATAGTGTACTGTACATAACACTCAAAACACGAAGATAGAATAATGCTGGAAAAAGGGTTGCCTACTACAGTAAAATTAAGAAAATCAATCGAATACCTGAGACTTGTGATGGAGAAGAAGCCTCAGCTACTCTCACAGGCATTTTCTTGCTCGATTATTTGATGGGCTTTCGTTGGAATTTCTTCAAGGCTCCACAGTCGATTTCAAAATCCCTAAAACCGTCTATTACAGTTTCGGTCGCCCTCCTTTCGATCACTTTTTGTCACAGCACGAGTCTCTAAAAACGTGTAATGGGCGCACACGAGTTTCGATCACTTTTTGTCACAGCACGAGTCTCTAAAAACGTTAATGGGCGCACACGAGTCACCAGAATTATATTATTACTAGCGTATACCCCGTGCGATGCACGGGAACAATATTAAACTAACAATATTATAAATAGATCTCGAGTTTGAGTCACTTAATGACGGAAGTGGAAACTACTATTGATCCTATTTAAAAAGAGGAAGAAAAAAAATAAATATAAATTAAAGAAGATGATAAACAATACTTAATAATTATAAATTAAAGATTCAGGGTCAAACAATGTAAAATTATTTTGTATAAGAGAATAAAAAAAATTTGATTACACACCATTTCAAAATTATTATTATACTTTTTTGTATGGTTAGCTTATAATATTTGTAAAAATATTAGTAATTAGACCGATGAAAATTAACTTCTTAAAGTGGATAATGGATTTATAGTAGTAATTATGAATTGGTTTCTATTTCATTTTATTTTTTCTTTTAAAGATTATTGATTTCTAGTAGTAATTATAAATTGATTTTTATTTTATTTCTTCAAATCTGTATAAATAAGGGATGAGATTTTTTAAACACGTGAGACGTATGGAATGAGATTTTCTAACAGAAGAGATAAGCTCGTGTAGATTTATACTAAAAATAGGAAAAATAAAAACAAATATTTATTGTCAAACGACGGTTTTGATAAACTAAAAAACATGAAAAAGAGAAACAAATCTTTACACAATTAATGAGCCGATTTTTTTGCCTATTCAGATTTGTTCAACAATTACTATATATAGGATATATTTAATGATTTTGGCGGGAAAAAGTTTCTAAATTTGTAAAAAGGTTATTCTTTTTATATAATGATAGATTATTATTATTATTATTATTATTATTATTATTATTATTATTATTATTATTATTATTATTATAATATTAACTTTTTGAAGGAAGTATAAGTTCAAATGAATAAAGCCGAACTCAAACTTCTAATATTCGAACTCGAGTTCGAACCTTTATCGAGTCGGTCTCAACTCGTTTAGTTAACGAGCCGATAAATGAACTCAAATTCAGCTTGAATATCAATACTAATGAATTTTGAGTCTAAATGAATCAAGTACGATAAAAACTAAAAACTCCAAAAATTATGTCAAAAAAAAAACCTATATTCTTGAGTTTCAACGGACGAAACTTAACACATCTAGTTAACTATATGAGTTTAAAACGATTAAACCGTCATACTAGTAGACATAATATACCTCCACACAATAAATAAATAAATAACTCTAACAATTAATGATTAAGGTGTTTTGTGTACATAATGGTAATAGAAATGGATTTGAAAATAATATAAGCAGAAAACAGTAATTGAAATATTGGAAGTAGTTGTAATAGTTTGTTGGTATATAAAACATAAAATTTATAACTAAGAGTCATCCATTAAACACAAATTCTTGTATAATACAATCATTAGTTGGCTAAACCTGCCATATTCTTCCTTACAAAATATATGGTTATATTATGAAAATTTTATAATTTTGTTTTAGAGTTTGACATCTCAGCTTACAATTGTATCTATTAGAAAAACATGATGGACTGTTATGTTCACCTAATATTAGAGTTACTTTTCTATCAAATTACTTCTAATTGGATGAGTTTGTCAATAATTATATCATATTACTTTGTAATTGAAAGTTTTAGACCATATTTTTCCACTAACCAACTTGTAGAAACAAAATCTGTTCCTTGCCTTAGTGCGCTGCCTTTTGACCTGTTCTCACTCTTAGTGGCATTTGGTGCAAATTAGTTATTAGTTAATTCCTCATCCCAATGGAAGGAAATTTACCCAATGGGCATATGACTTTATTTATTTTAAGAATTATAGATTTGAAAGAATCTATTCAATCTATTTGGAAAATCTCGTTAGATTTCAAAGTATAATTTTTTGTTTAGAAAGTATGACTATTAGGACCAAATTGATCTACCTAACCAATTTTTAATGGATATTCATATATTAAAATTAAAATGTCATACTCAATATTTACATAAATAAAATGTCCTTTAATCAAATAATTGTATTGAGTATATATTTTTTATTAAAAAATAATAATGGGCGACCCGCGTTGATAAAATCGTGTTGGATTGTACATGCATTTATTCCAATCTGTGGATAATAATACGTTAATATAGATAGATATGGATGGATAGCACGTGAACATCAAATGTTAGATTCCTTTTCACATAACCAATCCCATGACATCCCTTAGACCGATTCTCCTCAACTTGTTTGTTTTCAGGATAACATGTAATAACAAATTAACAATACAAATGTCCATTCAAATATTTTGTCCAATTATAAACACGTTTATCAATTTCAAAATGGTACACAAAAGAGAACTAATTCTCATAGGTAATAATTTTGAAAACAAGGTCATTCCTCAATCACAATACAAATTCTTTTAGGCCTAAGAACAAAAACAACACCACAGTAAGTTGAAGTTACAATATCACATCAAACATACTATCAAAAACAATATCAAAAAGAATTTGAAGCCCAAAATACCATCACCTAGCTTCCCCTACACTACTACCCAATAGCGTAAAAGGCGAGGTCGAAAAGGACCGAAACCCTCCATCGACCACCCTCGTCTCCCCAAACGAAGATGATGCAAACGAGTTAACATACTCTTCAAACCCTCCCTTATCCCCAAAATGCCCCTCTGGAGCCCTCAAAACACTCTGGCAACTCACTCTCGCCCTCCAAATAGCTCACGACCTGCCTCATCCCGGGCCTTGCCGTCTGCTCGTGGGCCGAACACATCAAGCCCAACTTCAACACCATCAAAACCTCATCCCGATCAAACCCACCACCTTTCATCCTCGGGTCCACCACACTCATAACCCTCCCTTCCTTCCACTCGCTCCACACATGTTCGGCCAATACGAAATCCTCGGGCCCGGATTTACGCTCAATGGGCCTACGCCCACATACAACCTCGAGCAAAAGCTCCCCAAACACGAAAACATCTGAGCCCGTCGTGGCCCGGCCCGTCCTTGTTAGCTCGGGCGCGAGGTAACCTAAAGTCCCCACGACCCGAGTCGTCCCAGGGTTTGACCCGTGATCGTAAAGTTTCGCAAGCCCGAAATCCCCTAATCGAGCATTCATCTCGCTATCCAACAACACGTTACTAGCCTTCACGTCCCGGTGTATCACGACTTGTTCGTAGCCTTCGTGAAGGTATAGTAGGCCCGAAGCAACCACTTTCACGATCCTGAACCTCTGTTCCCAGCTCAAGGCCCGTTCGGTATTGGGCTCGGGCCCAATTTCGAATAAGAATCGGTCCAGGCTTCCGTTAGGCATGAAATCGTAAACGAGGAGGAGGTCTGCCCCACGCCTGCACCAGCCCATCAGCTGAACCAGATTCCGGTGACGGAGCCGGCCGATGCTGGAGATTTCCGAGAGGAATTCGCGAACGCCTTGTTTCGAGTCGTGTGAGATTCGCTTGACGGCGATTTGGGTCTTTGAGTTGGGTAAGGTGCCTTTGTAGACCCGACCAAAGCCGCCGGAGCCGAGGAGTTCGCTGTCTTTGAAGCTTCNAACAATGCTAGAATGAAGATACCATGAGGAATGTGAATAATCAGTTATGGATTTTCAAGAGATGTATATTGAAAAATGTTACATTTAGAATATAATCAAATTGAAAATTGTGACATTTGAAGTAGTGTATTCATTTTGGATTATTTAAATACTTTTTGAGGGATTTATAAGAATTTTTGTGATTAATTTGATTTTAGAAAGTTGTGAGGTATCAATTTGAGATTTCATACATTTTTAAGAAGTTGTGAGTTATTCAATTTATTTATTCAATTGGAATTTTTATTATATTTTAAAAATATAATATATAGATATACCAAATTAATGTCATACAAAAAATATATACGAAACCTCACATCAAATCCTATCTAAGACATGAGATTTCTAAATATTCCAGTTAAATTACAAAAATATTAAAAAATATCTAATTTTGAAAAATATATTATAATGTCACTCGATGTTCCTAGGTGTCACATGATGGACGTAAAAATCAAGTTAAAAAGGATCGATCTCACGACTATTGAATCTTTTTCTTTAATTAATTTACTAATTTATTAGATGAAACCGAATAATGTAACATTTAATTGGACGCGTTTGACAACATAACTGATCAAATGAAAAGTTGCTACTGGAATTAGCTAGTACTATTTCAGTTTGGGTTAACTGTTGAATATTGTACAATTAATTTTTAGTTTGTATCTTATGATGTGAAGTTATTGCATTTAAACTTATTTTTTTGGGTACAATGTTAAGAATATTTTAGTTGTGTACTACTTCTCTTATAATTAAACTTCTTTGCATTAATTCACTAATCATTATTGGATTTTCAAGTATAAATGTGACGTAATTTCTAAATATTCCAGTTAAATCAAAGTTAATTGAATACAAAAATTAAGCCTAGCTACTCAGAAAAGCAACCTGAAGGGGGGGTGTTTGTAATATATCAAAACTAAACGGATCTATCTGTAATTAGCCCAGACAAGAAAACACTTGATACTTGACCATTTAAACAATTTCTTGTTAATGTGTAACAATGACTTGTTCGAAAAAAAAAAAGTGTAACAATGACTTGTGGTTGGAAACTTGTGCAACCGACAGCAAATGGTTTGGTCAAAGTGCTTGATTTTTAAGGCACGTTTTTTTGACCTTTACACCATATCTTTTGAAATGAAATGAATTAAACCATATATATAATTATTATTCCCTTCGTCATTTTTGTCAATTTTATTTATTTTACAACTTAAAAAAAAAATTACTTATAACAAAAAATCCTCCAATACACTCATGGCTTAATAAATTCGATATGATTATGGTAGCCTAAAAAACATTCTGTATATTAATTTCCAGTAAAAATAGTTGTTCATCTACTAATAGAGTTTGTTTAAAAGATTAAAATTTATCTCATAATCTTCTGTATATAGCTTTCTACAGAAAAAAAAAACTATTAAATTTTTTATTTCAACTAATTACTAGTAATTTAATTTTACTAAATAATTTTATTATGTGAACTAACTTTTTAACTATGAGTCATAAATTATCAATTATAAACATAAAATTATATTATAAATTATCAGATGAGTTTTCAGTTAATTTGGCAAATATATCCTAAATCATCTATACAAATGTAAAACGGAACTATACAATATCAAACAAACTATAGATGATATTTTCTAGCTATAACACAATAATATGTATTGATGCAATTTGCAAATTGAGAAATTATTCAAGGTACACTGAAAAAATAAAAAAACTTATGAATTTTTTCCTCTGTATACGTAATTTGTACTGACTTCAGTATACAAACTACAAAGTATCTAACATGATTAATTGATATAATCTGGAAAAAGAAAATAGAATGAAGAAAAAGGGTACAAATTAATTTGATGTAACAAACATACTATTATCAAAAGCATATATGGTAACAGTCAGATATGCAAACTATTATAATTTCACATGCCATTAATTAACTTATGAAATTTTAATTAGGCTAGGGAGGAGTTACAGATTCCCAATCATTGCAGCCTCTGATTCTGACCTGTACGACGTCGTCTTGTCGGTCTGAGCCGCCCGTTTGAAAGATCTCACAGCACTGTCTACGTGGCGCCTCCTTCTAAAAAGAGAAATCTTAGACTGTATTTAGTAAAAATTAGCTGATAGTTTATCATAGTTTTTAAACTTATAGCTTATATCTCATGATTTATAGTTGAAAAACTAACTTATATGATAAAAATATTTGATAACATTAGCTAATAAATTAGCTGAAATAAAATTTTTAACTAACTTATTTGAAAAGTTACTCAAAGAAATTTATGAGATAAATTC